GAAATCAACTATTTTCTTACAGTGTCGTTATGTTATGTTTCACATTACCTTGTGTTCGCCAATAAGTTCTGCTATCATTGACAGTGACGTAGCAAGCATAATCGAGCTACCGCAGCCTATAAGTACTGCCGTCGCATAAACAGCATTTCGGCCTTCGATTGATTGAAAATAAAACCAGAAGCACGAAGCGAGCGCGATAAAACCTCCAATAGAATATGTAATCTGAAATGAAAAGTGTTTAGGCTTGTTGAAATATTCGAGAAATATTTAGTTCAAACAGTACGTGTAGTGGCCACATTTGCAAGGTCATTTTGTCTAGTGGTGAAACGCGTACATTCAAGGGCTAATTAATATCCTAGCGTTTCCTCCCTCTATAAAATCGCCATTAGATATGGTGGGAATGAAACCTCCCGCCTTAATGTAAATCCATGCGACGATTCATTGCTTTGTCGTGTAGATTGACGGTCTTTTTCCACAAAATAAGCATTTTATTCAAGGGTTGGAATCCGGCAAGTCCGGCGCTGCTATGAATCTTATTCTTAAGATTCATTTCCTCCTTTCGTTTTATTCGCTTATTTTCAAATTCATAGTTAGATTATAAAACGTAGCGCTCTTTGCTAATGCAACCGAAGTTGTCTACTTACTTTGTTGCCAAGGCGTTTGTTCATGGGCTTTACAACAGAACTAGACAATACTCCACTTACTAAAATGATCAATGGGAAATATGCTATAGATTCCTGTAAAAAAAAGAACAAATCATGTCTTAAAAGGTATCAAAAAGGTAAGTTGGCTTACATTTTTAGTTGCTGTTCTATGATTGCAATATACACCCATATATAGAAGGAGTAACATGCATGGTTTGGTCACACGTGTTTTCAAGCAGTGTAGTCCTAGCGAATAGAGTGAGATCATCGCCTATACAACACCAATATACGACATTAAAATTGTTTGCATGCGACATTCGTTTGATTGCGACACCTAACTATTTCCTATTCATTGGCATAATCATGTCTACCTTTTCAAATTTGAGAGTCTCTATTAGGTATAGCGGAAAATAGGCTTGCGAGATATTAACAACAAGGCGGCTACACGTGTACAGCATATTGGTCTATAAGGATTGAGAAATAATAAACAATTAAAGTGTTGCATGGTATATTTGTTTTTTATTGAGGATTCGTCCAGGGCTTGTTAATAATTAGGTTGGATCTAAATTTTGGTTGGTTGGTTGGTTGGTTGGTTGGTTGGTTGGTTGGTTGGTTGGTTGGTTGGTTGGTTGGTTGGTTGCTTACTGTATAAAACGGTGGATATTTCAGCCAGTCTTTCCATGTTTTATCGTGGTTTTCGATACTATGATCACTTATCTCTACTGCTTCCCTGCCTGACGTTGATTGACTTGTTATTGATAACGACTCTTCTTGTCTTTCACGGGGTGATGTTCCAACATTAGAATTCGGTAGCGAAGATACTTCTAATATAGCTTCAGGCGAGAAAAAAAATGGCATTAAATTTCAGTCATATCAGAATCATTTCCAAATAGAGCGTTGCAATGTTATACTGTTGATTATGACATTATAAAACATGGATCGGAACATTTTTGTTTCTTCGCAAACTTGCCGTACAAAATGAATTACTTGCACATCATACATGGATTTATGCATCCGATGCCATCCAGGCAATCCAAGCCGGTTATAAAGTTGGGCCCATGCGAGAGGAGAAAGGGACGTTGCCCCTCAACTTTTTTCATACTGCTTCTAGACTAAAAGGAATCTATCAAAACTAAACAACATGCCTCTATTCTGGTCTTCATCATTTGGTAAACAAGGCCTGTTGTTGTTTTCCCTGGCTAGTGGTGTTGGTGGTGCCGGTTCCACTGTCAATACGTGGAATATGAGATTGAAAAGATTTCCAACAGAGACTATTATGATACCAAGATACTGGAGACATAAAAAACCTTTACTAAGGAACCGGTCATAATTCATATGCGAGAAATCAAGGAGGGGGGGGGGGGGGGGGGGGGTTGTCAGGTACAAATTGTACGAATGAGGGTGGGACATTACTTTGGGGGAGGATGGGCCAATTTTTGTTTGGAGAAATGCACACTATAGGTGGTAGTTCAAATTCAGTCAGAAGATGTATTTAATGAAACAATATGCACCCTTTTAAGACTTTTAATAAGTCCCGAGGTATTGTGTTCTCCGCACATGACGTCAAATTTATTCTTTTATTCCTTTTATATTGTAAGAATTTCAAAAAAATAAATTTTTCCGCTTTTCTCCGTCCAGGGCTGATTATTCCCATTCCTTGATCATTTCAGAGGATATTCCTTATGATTTTAGTTTTTAAGTGCTAGGTAGCTATATCAGTTAACTTTTAATTTCGTTTAATTCATAAATTTTTGGCTAAGTATTTCCTATTCCGCTCGCTTTTGTGTGTGTGTTTATTGAAATATTCCGTATTCCGTACATTTTTCAGAGAATATTCAATAATACTAAGATTACGATATCTAATATTCACCTTCCACCCCCGAGGTTCTAAATTTCCTAAAAGAAACCGGCGTTGGTCGGTAGCATGAACCGCAACTCTAATGTCCAATGACCTCTAATGTTGCACAGAATCTTTAAATTCGATCATTCTTACCATGAATTGCTTCCATTCTTTAGGAGACAAAGATTCTTCTTTGTTTTGTCCAAGTAGAACCCACGTGATAGCGTAGATGAATATGCCGCAAATGAATGTTACCGCTGACCTAAAATGGAGATATAAATCCCAGTCAGTTCATTGTCAGTTGCTTCCAAAAATACATAAAATCTTAGAATATGCATCCATTATTCTTATTTAAAGTTTTTAAATGTTTTAATGTAAACATTTTTCAGCTAAACAGTATCAAATGAAACAGAACGCGTTCTGTTAAGTTTGTTAGTATTATTGAATAAACATTGTTCAAACTTTTATATAAGTGTTTTAAAAAACCTGTCAGTTATTATTCATGTATTTTCAACGTCTTTTTTTCCTTACCATCATTAAAAATGATAGTAAAACTAGCTCAACTAATAGCAAGCTTTTAATGAACAATGTTTGTCAGCTACAGGCATTCTTTCATTTTCAGACAAATTTTTACTTACAAATAAATGCCTCCCAGCTACCTCCACAAGTACAATAATAACATACTAGATTTAACAGCGGGGGAACATTTAGTGAGAACTATTACT